ATTGATACATGGTTGGATTAATTTGTTAATTCAACACAGTTTACTGTATAACAGACACTACACTTGGAGTGAAGCTACAACTCCCTTCATCCCCACTGCCACCATATAAACATATACTTCTCCTGGGGGTAGCCTACCGTGTATTAGAGAAAATGGACATCAATCATACAAATAAGGAAAAATGTAAATATGCAACTATGTTAAATGCTAAAAAGGTTACAAGGTCTTTGTGGATCTTGAGATAAACTAGAGTGTATCAATATGGAGCTTGGTTAAAAATTAAATACATTTTCTTCATATTATTATTAAAATATATTAAAGAAGATAAGATCTAATGAATTATATGACTTCCAAATAAAATCTCTAAAAAGTATTTCAGTGAGGTCTTGCCTCCATGATATCAACAGTTTAATAATATAATTTATTCTTGAAATAGCTATGTTTCCTGATTATGACATTTTTAAATGATGAAATAATAGTTGATTATCAGTTAGGGTGAGAAAATTTGTTTGCCCCAGTAGGTGAGAAAGATTTTAAACATTTACTTTTATGACCAAATACTTGTATCAATTAACATGGTGTTTAAAATATGTCAGCTCTACTATTTTTCCATCAATAGTTCTGAATTTGAATTTTTGTGGATATAAATATATTTCAGATATACTCAAAATTTTATCATAAAATTCAAAATAATTATAAAGGTTGACTATGAAGAATGCCCAAGCATTATTAGAACAGCTAATCTGCAGCTGGCATGGCTACTGCAAAAATAGCAAGTCAGTGACATACAGAACAAAATTATCTTGTATTTATGTTGCTAGATCTTTGGGTCATTAACTGGAGCTATGCTTACTAGAAGTTCCTGCCTGGCCTTCTTGCTCCCCTATCTGTGGTGGGCTATACTTGGAACTGCATAAAATATTCCTTGGCCCTGGGGGAAAAATCTTCAGACGACTCCATGAGCCTTTGTCAGTGATCTGCAGCTGAATGTTCCAGTAGATATCCAGCAGTAGGCATCTCCTTATCTATGCCACCTTCAGGAAGAATGGGACACACACTCAGACCCCACTTACTAAGGCAATCCTCCAAAATCCGTGAACAAGCTATCTGGCTATGGACTCTGGTAACTTGAAGCCACCCTGTTTGGCCTCTTTTGATGGGTGAGGTGATCAACATGTGATACCTATAAATCATTTGTGGTAGACTAGTCAGAAAGCTTAGCTCTGAGCCTGTTTCAATTTTCTTCTGAGAATTTATTACCATCTAACATAGGTATATGTTTATTTGTTTAGACATACAACACTTAACTGTAGCATTCACGAAAGCAGTCTGTCTTTTTACTTGCTGATGTATTCCGAGTTCATAGTGTAAGCACTCAACACATATTCATTGGGTGAGAGATTAGACTCTAAGTTCCACGAGAGCTGTCTTTATTTTCCTCTTTATACTCAGAATTTACCTCAGTGCTTAGCGTATTGTAGGTACTAAGGAAGTAAGCAGGAGCCAGGTTATAAAGATTCTTGTAAGACTTATTAGGAATTTTAGATTATTTTCTAAAAGCAGTGAGAACCCACTGAGGTATTATATTTAGAAAGAAACTTCTTGCTTTTTGTTTTTCTTAATGAGGGCATCTCTGTTCTCTTACTTATCCAATCTTAAACTTTCAAAGTTACATAACACTTTTTCCTTCTTCTTCATGCTAATAATTTGCCCAAACCTGACAGCCATATCTATCTGTCTAGTTCTGTTACACTTTGTTTTCCATTTTCATTTGGGCCTTGATAACCACAGGATGGTTAATTGTACCTGCTAAATTCATATCCCTGTTGTTAGTGTATTCTCCATCTAAGTTGCTCTAAGGCCTTATAGAAGATCAGTTGTATAACATTGGTCATCCCATTTATCTAAACAAATACTTGTAATAGTTCCTCACTGATTAAAAATAAATTCTTAGCTTTCTATTTGAAAAAAGTACATTTTATTAGTTTCAGTACTTGCTCACATAAATTATCATATTTAATCTTGTAAGAGAAGCAGATTGCTTCTCCTCTTATTTAAAATATAAATTCAAACATTAAAAATGTTGCAAAATTACCTCAGAAAATTCTCATATACTCTTCACCCAAATTTACCAACTGTTGAAACTTTGTCACATTTCCTTCATCATTCTCTCTATAGATATTCCTGCACCACTGTAGAATCATTTCAGCCCCTATGCCCTTTTTAACCCCTAAATATTTCATTAGAGTCATTATAGTAAAAGTATCAAAATTAGGACACTTAATATAGATATAAGAGTAATTTGAGTAATTGTAATTTGACACAAATAAAAGGCCTATAGGCTTTATTCATATTTTGCCAACTGTCCCATTTATAAATATTTTTTCCAACCATCCTGTAAAATCCAACACATTGCATTTAGTGGTCATATTTCTTTAATTTCTAGTCTAGAATAGTTCTTCAGACTTTCTTTGACTTTCATCAGTGATATTTTTGAAAAAAAGAGACAAGATATTTTGTGGTGTTTCCCTCAACTTGGACTTGTCCTTGCTTCCTCATGATTATAGTCAATTATGCTTTTTTTGTTTTTTGTTTTGGGATACTTAATGAACTGTACCATGTACTTCTTAATGCATCACCTCATGAGGCTAATGTTGTCACCTGTTCCCTTTATTGGTGATTTTAACCTTGAGTACTTGTTTAAGGTGGTGTCTACTGGATTTGTTCGAGAAATTTTTTATTCCCTGGTCATTAAGAAGAATCTATGGTAAATAACAAAAATGGCCTTAAGTGCTCTCAATTGTGTATGCACTCTTTTTTACAGCATTATTTTGCAGTTTTTCCCATTAAGACCTGGAGTATGTTACTCCACCCTTTGCATCTGGTCTTGGTCATGAAATTTCATTGGGCTAATGGGACATTAGCAAATGTGTGTCAGTAGAATATTAAAAAATACTCTATGCTGGAGCTTGTACTACACTGTTGCTTCTTAGAGTCTTGTGACTACATATACATAGTCACAAGGCTAGCCTACAAAGAACGATCTCAGCTAAGTCCTTCTGCAATTCAGCTTGCCAAGCAGCAGACATTTAAGCAAGGCCATCCTTGACCATTCAGCCCAAACTGAGCCAGCTAGAGCAGAAAATCATCCAGACAGCCCACAGAACCTTGAGAAATTTTAAATATTCATTGTTTAAAGCCACTAAGTTTTGAGATGGTGTGTTGTAAAGCAAATGCTACCCCAGGGAGATACTTTGGAACTACATAAACTATCTTGCAACATATATAACTTCTACAACCTAGATTTATGCTTCTTGCTTTAGTTAAATATTATTACTGAGGTTGCAAAATAGTACCACTATATTTTTTAGAGATGAAGAATGTAAGGATCAGGGATTATATGTCTTCAAAGGACATATGTCTAGTTAGTGACTGTGCCAGTATTAGAATACCAATCTTTTACCTGCTGGTCCATAGCTTTTCTCAATATCCATGCTGAGATAGGTAGCCTGATGGTAGAACCCAAACTCACAAGAGGCAGCAATAGAGAGAAAATCCTGAGTGTTCCTGGTGTTACAAGTTAGCCCCATGTCCTCACCCATGCAGAGAAGCACCTATGGAAGATGCTCCATAATTGATAGTGGGAAGGGGTGGCAAGATGAACAATGTAGGAGGAGACATTAAATATAGTTATCATACCAATTTAGATAACTGATTCCTGAAAAGACATAAGGATAACATCTCTAGAAATTGCCTTTCATGAGTATAATCATATCATTGATATGCTAGATTATAATTAATAGTACATGTTTATACAAAATGGCTCTTAATATTTTTGAAGTAGCTATTATACACTTTCCCAGTTTTGCTAAGTAGACTAAGAAGAAAGAGCTAGGCCATGTGAAATGACGCTGTCAGAGGAGGAAAGGACCCCTATTTTCCTCCCTCTTAAAAGTAAGAAAACCAAAACTGAAGAAAGCCAAGGGCCAAAACTAATCAACACTGAATCACTGGCAAAATAGGGACTTGGACTCAGCAATTCCAACTTCCTGAAGAGGACCTCCCGCATGGAGTGAGGGATAGGTCCCAAGTCTTCAAATGCTAATAATATCTGAGGCTAACGTCTGTGCTTTGTGCCAGGCACTGGTCTAAAATCCTTACATATATTTTAATTCATTTGGTACCATGGACTTTCTGCTACACTACATACTAACTTTACTTAACAAATGATGGCACACTAACTTAGAAACGCAAGCATCCAGGTACTTCAGGGTGTGTGTGTATTAAAGATCATACTTCCTAACTGAGAAAGGAATTCAAAGCCGCACTTTTTTCTTCACCTCGCCCTAAAAAAATTGCTCATGGAAGCGCTTTGCATTCCCAGTGCTCTCACAGTGCGCTCGGACGCAGCAGCTGTCGCCAACCAGAATACTAGGATCCTGTCGGGTGTACGAACTCCGATAGACAGAGGCCAAACTCTGGTCTGTATTTTCTGCTTCACGGCGCCGAAACCTCAAGTTCCCCGCAGCATCTGGAGAGCCGACCGCGGAGGTGGGTCGCCGGACCTCCCCCCGCGGGCAGCCCGCCACTCCCCAGCAGCTCTAGAGGAGGCTCCCCGGTGCGCTGGGCTAACCTGGTGAATGCAAGCCTGCTTTTGCACACGGGGCCCCCGGTAGCCAGGGGTCGCAAGGCGGTCTCGGGGGTGCAGAGCCGTCCCTAGGCTGCTCTGGAGGGCTGTGCCTCCCAAGTATCGCGGGACTTGGGCCCTCTCCGGAGCAGCGGCTCCAGGAGCAGCTGGAGCGCGCTCGGTGCGCACCGCCCCAGCCCGGGGAGGCGCGGGAGCGGGAGCGGGAGGGAGGAGGGCTGGGGTTGCTGGTTACGTAAATGATACCAGCCCAGTGAGAGGCCTCCGGGCTGGGGCTCCGGGAGGGGGCGGGACCGCGAGGAGGAGGGGCCGGGGGAGCTGGCTGGGACGGGAGCAGGCGGGGGCCGGGGCGAGTGGCCGGGCGGCGGCGGCGGCTCTGCCGAGGCGACAATGCGCTAGGAGCCCTGCTCGGTCTCCGGCGCCTCCTCGGCCTGGGCGCCCGCGGAGCCCTCGAGCCCGCCGCCGCGCTATGAGGGCGCCTCCCCGGGGCTGGCCGAGGCCGGAGCCGGCTCCTGCTGCTCCCCGGGAAGAGTGACAAGAGAGGCGCGGGCTCCAGGTGAGCGCGGGTTCCGCGCGCCCCGCACTCGGTGCGCCCGGTCGGCGCCTGCCGGGCTGGGTCGCAGGCTGAATTCCTTGCGTGGACAGCCGTCCCCTCTTCGCGGGATCCTTGGCCACGACAGCAGGTCTCCGTCTCTTTCTCTCTTTCCCCCTCTTCTGGGTCGAGTCCCCCCGGGAGGCCAGAGGTCCCGGGTGGGCGCCGCCAAGTCCCGCGGAGAGCCCCGAGCCGGACCCGGCAGGGGCGCCTGTGAAGCCGGCGAGGCGGCCTCCTGGGTGCCCGGAGCGCGCTCGCCGGCCGCTGCAGGTGCGGAGGGAGCACCGCAGGGCGCGGAACTTTCTGTCGGCGCCCGCTCCCCAGCCCGCTCTCTCCGCCACCCGGTGTGGCGCTCGGCGGCGGGGGTGGCTCGGCTCTGCACGCGGGCAACTTCATGCCACCAGCGGCGGGCGGCTGGGGGCTGCGGGGCGCGGGCGCTCCTACGCCGCCCCACACCCGGGACGCTTTGGGTCTTTGGGGTCTTTCCGAACAGTTGCCTTCGTTTCTTTCTGCCTCCCTTTGCCTGTCTTTCAGTGCCCCTCTGCCTCTCATCCTCTGCATCTTTCTGTCTCGGATTCAGTTTCTTTTCTGACTCTGGCTCTGGCTGCAGCTCCCCCCACGTCCTCCGCATGTCTGTTTCTTTCATTCTCTTTCTCAGTCTTTCTTGGGATGTCTGTCCGTGTTACTTCTTCCGCTTGTCTCCGGTCTTGCCGTATTTTCTCTCTCTGTTTCTGCCTCTCGCTGCCTGTCTCTGTCTTCATCTGTCATCTCCCCTGCCTACTCCTCCCGAACCCCACTCCCAGAGCACGCCCTGGCCCACTTTTTGGGCTCCTCCAGGTAGAGAGACCTCCTTGCTCCGGAGCCAGAGGGGACGCGGGGATGCAGGCAGCCTGCCGTCCTCTGGGCTGTCGTGGACTCGGGATGAATGAGGGGTGCAAGGGCCCTGCGCTGCCGCGAACCCAAGCACACGGAGGCTGCTGGAATGGGCAGCAAAAGCTGCGGGCGTCCCTCCCCTCACCCCGTTCTTTGACTGATCAGTTGAATTTCCAGGTGGAGTGAGCATCTCCAGCCTTTACACGCAGGTGTCGGAGAGGAGACAGTGGGCAGACAAACCCAGGAAGCCTCGGGATCCGGGGAAAACTAACCTGGAAAGGGTGGGAGCTTTCCCGAGGCAGAGGTGTCATTAGCAGAACAGAGGAGCTCCAGGGACTGCCTGCTTCGAACCGCCGAGCTTCCGTAACACTCAGTCCTTGAGCATTGTCCCTGGAAGAGATCGCGGTCACTGTTCCCTGAAGCACATTGTAGAGATGTTATTTGCAGGGTTAAAGACACCTGGCTGCCCCAGCCCCCTGAAATTTCGGGGTTCCTTGGTGTCCCCATATCTTTAGCTTTGTATGAAGGCTGCCTTTGCTCAGGATTGCTCCCCTCCCTTCGTGTGTGTGTGTGTGTGTGTGTTTGTGTGTTTGCTTGCGTTCGTGCCCTCTAGTGTTAAAGAAACCTGCTGGTTTGAGAATATTGAAAAGTAAGATCAACCTATTGGTGACTGACTTCGGACCTCCCACCTTCCCAGATCCTTCTCTCGCCTTCACCCATTACTTTTCCTCATCTCGTGTATTGCGTTGCATCACTGTTCTTTCCTTTTCCCTGATCTCTACAAACTCCTCTTCTGCAGAATTAGAACGTTAGTATTGAAACCCTGTTCGTGTGACTTCAGAGATGGATACATTTGGAGAATTTTCATAGCCTATGGCAGGCTTTGAACATAGGAAACGTGCATTTTTCAGTACTGTTAGCCACGAATCAGGATTTCCTTATGCCCCTGCCCACCTTCAACTCTACTGAGAATTTTCCCTGGCTGCTCCTGTCGGTTTAAATAAATGCTTTTAATTCACCATTTCTGTGGTGCTCATCCCACTCCAGGGCTTAAGCTGAGCTGCTTGCTTAAGTAGAGGCACTGTATCTCAGATCAGGTTTAGAAGACGAAGGAAAGAAAGCTTTCTCCAAAGGAAGTTCAGCGCTGCTGGTGTGGATTAATCTCCATCTCAGAGTCCGGAGTGGGACTGGACGTTGTCTCAGATATGCAGAGCCTACTGCAGTGTGGAAAAACTACTAAACACTTAATAAAAACTTGTTGGTTGATTGGTTACCATGCAGCTAATTACAAGCTTTGAAGTCACCCAGCTATACTCATGTGTCTATATATACGAAGCTGAATTCTGCTTCCCTATTTTATGTTTCATTTAGTCATTTATAAGTGCGATAGGAGGACTAGTAGAAGAGATGTTGAAACGTGAGTTCTGTCTTTTTAGCTCATTTCACTGCTTGTATTTGCCTTTCTGAGCAAGTCTTTTTAACTTAGCTGATGTTTTCTATGTAAGAGTCACTATAGGGCTGCAATGAGGTTAGAGGCTGTGACGGGTGGAATCTCAATTTTTCTACTTGAAAGTAAACTGGGATATGACCTCTCTTTGGGGGTGAATATGTCCCTGTAGTTTTTAAAAATGAAAAGTTATTTTTTTAATACAAAGATAACAGTTTAAAATATTTGGGGGCTATACATTGATAGGCAAACTGAATCACTTACTTAAATAACTTACAGGTTTCCTTACTGCTTCAAATATACATGAGAGGTGTGATACTGCATGCATATGAGAGTTTGCCAAAGGACCTGGAAATGCTATGCCTCTTGCTATATGGTACTAGTGGGAATCCATAGGCAGCTTATTACTTTTCTGATGGTATGGTAGTCACTTCTTAAAACAGTTGTAGATTTACCATGAGTATTGTTCAGGAGCACGTTCAAGTTGATTTTGTTTTAAAAATATTACTTAAAAATCACTAGACGATCTACCCAAGTTTTTGTATTTAAAAATACCAAAGACATAGTGAAGGTGGAAATTCTGATATTGTTTGGATATCTTCTGATTTCTTACAGATGAGAATATTGAGACCCATTTACCTTTTTAACTTAATGCATCCTTGGTTTCAAGTTAAACAGTTATGTCAGAGTGAGATATGATGTTTCCATTTTGCAGCTTGATTTTTAGAAGTGATAGTTGTAACAAGAACATTTCCATGTAATAGATATTGTGCAGTTTTAAAGTGTCGGTATTTTAGAAAGAGGGTGAAAGAACAAGTCAAAAATGAGTTCTTTGTTTCTGGTTGGGCAAATGAAAAGAATATCAGTGTTCCTGAATAACAAGAAAAGTAAAGAAAATGAGGTGAAGTAATAATTAAAGTCTCACCCTATGAAATAAATAACAATACTACATGTCTCTGGTTGTATAGTTTTGTCCTTTAATTTGCTTTATTAGAAATACTATCAAGTGGCACTTCTTGCAATAAACAACAAATTCTTTATTGTGACTTTTAGTACCTCACCTTCTTGGGTTTGTGTTGCTCTCAGTGTAGGAACATGTAGACATCTTACATTTAATGAGATTTGACAAGATCAGTACTTTGAAGTCTGAGTGACCATATGCCTAATTATCAAAGAATTTTAACTATGCTTTGGTCCTAAATCCTTCCTTCTAGTCTTATTATCAGAATAAAAACATGCGAAACATCAAATCAAGACTTAAGTATATATACTCATATTGACCTTGACATTTCTTAATTTCTTAATTATAGTTCCCCTTTACGACCCCCTCACCCCTCCACACACGTTTGAACATATAAATCACATTTAAAGGTTTGGCACTGTCAGCTTTGATAAACCATTTATCATTTTAACAGATTAGACTTCTATTTGCAATTTCTATCTTAAAGTACATTGTTTACTTAAGGACTTCTGCCATTTAATTAGAGACATAGATGTTTTTGAAGAGTCTAGCTTCCCATTGTGAAATTAAATACTTAGTATTTCTGAAAATGAATACATGAATTCAGTAGTAGTTGGTCATCCATTTGAGGCATTATAAGCAATTCTCTTTGGGAGCAGAGTATAAATCAAACTTTTCATTTGATGACTTATTTCTCCTTGATTTAGGTTTGTACCTATATGTATGTTTTCAAATGTAGTATATGTATAATAATATATTTAATTGGTCTCAGCTTGATAACCAAGAAATAAGTATAGGTGTGTAAATTCATCTGTGTAATTAATGTATGTTCTAATGTCCCTTGTAAATGCATTAGCTAAAGTTCATTTTTAGCTATGAGTTTTCTAATTTTATTTTCTTGGTAGGTCTTAGGACCCATTTATTTAGGCTGAAACTTAATTTTTAAAAGATATTTCCAGAGATAGTTAGGAGATTAAAGTAGGGAGACATGTCTTTCCTCTAATGGCCCAGTTTCACTCAAAGGTCCACAAATTATAGTCCTCATGAACTATCAGTGTTTCTGTTAATGTTTATCTTGCTATAATCATCCATCCATTACAGTAGACCTACAGCAAGATGCAAAATATCAGTTGTTAAAAGTTGTTCCATATTAATGGTTAATCCGCCCAACATAGCTTGAGAGGAATGTAGGTAAAGTAATGACTGTTACCATCATAGACATGAACATTTTTGCGATCATATTTTCTGTTATGTAAGAAAATTAAACACACTGTCCATGTTAAATATTCAGACTTCTTTTGTATTTTTTTAAGAAATGTTTACTGTTTTGGACAGACGGGACTGTCCAAGATATATCATAGCAATGTTTTAACATGATGTGGAATTAATTGGGACTCTGTTTGATACATTAAACTATATTGAGTTGTCACTTAAATGTGATTTAAGCTCTTGTAGAGCATCACGGAGAAGTGTGAATAAACTGTCGGCTGGCACTTTGGTGAACATAATACATGTGCTGAGTAGCCACTGTAAATAGAAAGAAGAATTTAAAGCAGAGCCTACACATTCAAAATCATCCAAATTACACCTCAGAGATAGTAGTAAATGTCAACTTAGTCTCTTGCCTAATATTAATTGCCTTGATATCATAAGCACAGCACCTCTTTTTTAGTTAAAAATGGATTTTGGCATATGGGGAGGATTATCTTCTTGCTGATCAGAAGCATAATAACTGACTTAATTTCCTCTTGAGATTTTTATTATATAATTAGTTTCAGATGGAAAGGATGAGATTTATATGACTATCAAG